CATTGGCTATAATTTGGCTGACCCATTGTTTGGTCGATTATAACCTTATGTGCATGGTTGTATTTCAGACCAAGTCCTGGGTTATTATTTTGCTTTTTTCCAAAAAAAAGTTGTGAGTGCTGCTGGGATTATGGGGAGCTGGGGAGCTGTCGGCAGAGTGTGGATAGTTCCCTGGTGAACTGTTGGCCACACATTCAAGTACATAGGACACAAGGTCTCAGGCTTCAAAAGGCTCAGGGCTAAACATGGCCCATTACATTTTATGCTTAGGCATCAAATATAGTTCAATGTCCAAGCCACCCCAACTCCTTTGTACTTTAATAAATAGAAGCCCAAGAAACTGGGCATGCCGGGGGGGGGGGAGTTGTGAGTGTCTCCAAGGATTTATTCATTTAAGTCAGGTGTCAACAAATTCCTTGGCCCAGATCTAGGTGGCTGTCTAATTTTCAAATAAATTTTTATTAGAACATAGCCCACACCCATATGTTTCTGCATTGTCTATCTACTGCTCTGGAGCAATGTTTGAATAATTGTAACAGAACTCAGGTAAGCCACAAACCTTAAATATTTTTTGGTGGGCCCATTCCAGAAACAGTTTTCAAACCCTATTCTTTCTTTCTTTTTTTTTGGTACTGGGGATCGAACTCAGGACCTTGTGCTGCCAGGCAGGCACTTATGCTGTTGAGCTATCTCCCTGGCCCCTTCAAACCCTATTCTTGATGACTTTTATACTCAACCTGTCAGTTCTTTCCCTTAATTCACCGGAGATTCAGAACGTACACTGTGCAGGTCCAGCACGGTGGCATGCACCTGCAGTGCCAGCACTTGGGGAGGCTGAGGCGGAGGACCATTTTCAGCCAGCCTGAACTATATAGCGAGACCCTGTCTCAAAAAACCAAAAACAACAAAAGACAGAAGCCAGGTATGGTGTACACACCTAGAATCCCAGCACTCTGGGAGGCGGAAGCAGCAGAAATCACAAATTGGAGTCCATCCTGGGCCATTTAGTGACTTTTAGAGAACCCCATCTCAAAAATAAAAAATAGAAGGAAGGGCTGGCCGAATAGCTCAGTGGATTAAAGCACCTGCGAGCAGACACAGGGGCTCGGGGTTTGATCCCCCGGCCTGCCATGCCGGCCCTGCCGCCGGGGCGAACCGAGACAGCGGTTGAGACTGGGCGTGGTGGCGCACTTGAAAGCTCTTGGGAGGCTGTAAGTGGGCAGATCACTGTGACTGATCTAGTAGTGAGACCCTGAACAA